ACTGTTTGCTACGATTTCCATTCATTTGCATTTGCTGAGGAGTGTTTTGCTTCCAAATATGTGGTCGATTTTAGAATGAGTGTTACGTGACACTGAGAAGAATGTATATTCTGTTGATTTGTGGTGGAGAGTTCTGCAGTTGTCTATTAGGTCCTCTTGGTCCAGGGCCGAGTTCAAGTCCTGAATATCCTTGTTAATTTTCTGTCTTGTTGATCTGTCTAATATTGATAGTGGGGTGTTAAATTCTCCCACTATTACTGTATGGGAGTCCAAGTCTCTTTGTTGGTCTCTAAGAACTTGTCTTATGAATCTGGGTGGGATATTGACTCATATCCCAGTGTGTGGCTACTCCTGTTGGGTGCATATATGTTTAGCATAATTAGCTCTTCTTGTTGCATTGATCCCTTTACCATTATGTAATGCCCTTCTTTCTCTTTTTTGATCTTTGTTGGTTTAAAGTCTGTTTTATCAGAGACTGGGATTGCAACCCCTGCTTTATTTTGCTTTCCATTTGCTTGGTAAATATTCCTCCATCCCTTTATTTTGAGCCTAGTGTGTCTACATGTGAGATGGGTCTCCTGAATGCAGCACACTCATGGGTCTTGATTCTTTATCCAATTTGCCAGTCTTGTCTTTAATTGGGGACTTTAGCCCATTACCAATATAGTTATGTGTGAATTTGATCCTATCATTATGATGCTAGCTGGTTATTTTGCACATTAGTTGATGCAGTTTCTTCATAGTGTCATTGGTTTTTATATGTTGGTATGTTTTTGCAGTGACTGATACTGTTTGTTTTGGTTTTTTTCCCCCCATATTTAGTGCTTCCTTCAGGAGCTCTTGTATGGCAGGCTGGGTGGTGACAATATCCCTCAACATTTGCTTGTCTGGAAAGCATTTTATTTCTCTGCTTACTAAACTTAGTTTGGCTGGATATGAAATTCTCGTTTGAAAATTCTTTTCTTTAAGAATGTTGAATATTGGCCCCCTCCTGGTTTCAAGGGATTTTCATGCCTCAGCCTCCCAAGTAGGTGGGATTACAGGCACTTGCTACCATACCTGGCTAATTTTTGTGTTTTTAGTAGAGACAGGGTTTCATCATGTTGGCCAGACTGGTCTCCTGGCCTCAGGTGATCCACCCACCTTGGCCTCCCAAATTGCTGGGATTACAAACATTAGCCATTGTGCTTGACTCTTCTTCTCTTTTTTTTTTTTTTTGGTCCAATTTTTCATTATACATGTTGTATCTCTATGTTCTGCAAACCCAATCATATATTGTTTAAATTAAATTATAATGAAATCTTACATAATTGTATGTCTTTTAAGGATGTTGACAAAAATGTATATCCTGTATATATTAATAGAATCTGTTACATTGATGTATTTGCTTATCATTTTTGGTTTTCCTCATTTGTTGCTGTAGATTCAAATCACCAACTGTGGTATCTTTTCCTTGTTCAGGTATTGCTTTGCTCTCACCCACCTCCTTTGTGTTGTTACTGGCAAATATATATACAGATCTCACAATACAGTTACATACATATTGTCTTATATAATTGATTTTTGAATCAGTTAAAAGGTGCTTGGAGAATAAATATGCAATTATGCCATTGTAATTGTCTACCTAGTTACCTTTACTGGTACTCTGTTCTTTGTGTAGATTTGAATTACTTGCTGGGGTCACTTTCTTTCACCCCGAAGGACTTTCCTTAGTATTTTTTGTAAGATAGCTCTATTATCAACAAATTCTCTCAGTTTTTGTTTATCTGGAAATGTCTTTATTTCATCTTTATTTTTGAAAGACAGTTTTGCTCAACATAAGACTCTTGATTAGCAGATTTTTTTTTCTTCTACTGTTTTGAATATGTCATTTCACATTCCGTTGCCTTTCAGCCTCCATTGTTTCTGAAAGTTAGCTGTTAATCTTAATAGAGGTCCTTTGTACACAGTTTTCAAGGTGTCTTTTTTTCTTTTAAGCATGTTTACTGGGATGTGTCTGAGTAGAGATTTCTTTATCCTGCTTGAAGTTTATTGAACTTCTTAAAGCATAGATAATGTTTTTCATCAAATTTAGGAAAGTTTTCAACCATTATTTTAAGAAATATTTGTATTCCTTTCTTTCCTTTTCTTCTGTTATTTCCATTATGTATATTCTTGTGATTAATGGTATTCGACATTTCTTTGAGATTATTCATACTCCCTTCATTCTTTTTTTCTGTTTTTTTTTTTCTATGCTGTTTCAATAATCTTCTTCTTCCAGCATCAGTCTCTTATACCCTCAAAATTGCTCTATTAAATGAAGTCACATAAATATTTTTGAAACATTGCTTTACACTCATCACTCCCTAACTTGAAAGCTTCTTATAACTCTCCATTTTCTATATTGAAAATAAGTTTAGAGATTGCCATTGATTAGCTATTTTGTACCTCATTAACATTATTTCCCCTGTTCCCCTTCATGAATCTTTTAATCTAGTCAAATTGGCCTGTCAGTAAAACCAGTTTTAATCTCAACCTCTACAGCACTTCATGCTTATCACTCATTTCATTATAGTACTTCACAATGTCATTTTAACTTATTTTTTAATATAGTGAATTTTAAGCCTCTGGAATTTAGTTTTTTAATACCCTAACACTTGGTACACTACTCTGAATGTCAGGAATAGTAAGGAATGTAATTGTTGATAATGTCGTTATATACAACATGACAAGTAATCATGTTTCAATTACTGACAGTCAATAAATATAATTGAAGCACAAAAATTCTCTCCCAAGAATAAATTGTTAGAGTTGGAAATTGAAGGAAAATGTTAACGAGAAAATTATGTAATTATTCTTTCCCACTGAAATCAATTGATGACTCTGATATATAGTGATTAAAAATGCTTTAATATGTACAAACAACCGCAGATATACTGTTTTGTTCAATTAATGATTTGACAATTTAGTGAAGTGCTGGATGGAAAAGACATATAAACTAAGGGGAGTGGAACTCTCCCCTGGCTGTGTCACTTTTTTTATTTCTCTCTATTCCCACATCATTACCAAAGCCAGTAATCTCCAACCATCTAGTTCTCAATCTTAAGACTATTGTTCAGGGCCGGGCTTGGTGGCTCACGCCTGTAACCCCAGCACTTTGGGAGGCTGAGAACGGGTGGATCACTAGGTCAGGAGATCCTGGCTAACACAGTGAAACCCTGTCTCTACTAAAAATACAAAAAATTAGCCAGGAGTAGTGGCACATGCCTGTAGTTCCAGCTACTCAGGAGGCTGAAGCAGGATAATCGCTTGAACCCAGGAGGTGGAGGTTGCAGGGAGCCAAGATCACACCACTGCACTCCAGCCTGGGTGACAGAGTGAGACTCCATCTCAAAAAAAAAAAAAGACTATTGTTCAGACAAGTTCCTGAGCAAAAGTTTTCTCTTTGTAAGGCATCATGATATACATATAATGTCAGTAATTCTATTTTACATATGGCACAGATATGTATATTTTAGTACAGTGTGAATGATTATGGTCAATTTTATATTATTTGTTTCTTGTTTAGTAAATATAGGGTAAAATAAAGAAAAGGCAATTTCAGAAAGCATGCCAAGCAGCAGATATTGATTTGTTGTTTAATTCCTTGCCCTTTAAACACGTTGAATAAAACTATCTTGATATCCTATTTGGATTTGCTTATGTCATTGTCAAGCTAATCTGAAAATTTAAAGCTATATGCATGTAAACGTCTATGTAATAGATACGTGACTATAAACAACTGTGGTAATACAAGAATAAATAAGGGTACTTACTGAAAATGAAAAAGAAACAAACATTGCATTTCAGAACACATGCCAATTTAACCAAAATGAGACATAGAAGTAAACTGAAAGCGTAACTAGAAAGATAAGCGTGTTATGTGCAGAAGTAGCTTCACTGCTATTTCTTCCTCTTTTTGATCCTTTATTCAAAATCTTATGGAGTCTAAACAGAATAACCCATCTCCTATAAGAAATTATCATTTTTGTTTTATGCAAAATGAATACATCATTAAAATGATTTTTAAAAATCATGAAATGTAGTATTTGTGTTCATTGTCTAATGGAAGTTTTTAAAAAAATGTATTTGATAGAAATAGAATAATTTTGATAGTTCATTATATGCTTTAAATAGCAAGTATTTCTCTGTATGAAAGGAGTTTGCATGTATTATAGATAAAATATTGATCCTAGTGTGGATTGTTATTGTTGTCCTAGTCTGTTTTTTGGTGCTGTAACAGAATACCACACGCTACACAATTTATAAACAATAGAGGTTTATTTGTCTTATGATTTTGGAGGCTGGAAAGTCCAAGATTGAGGGGCAACATCTGATGAGGGACTTCTTACTGTGTTGTAACATGGTGGAAGGTATCACATGTTGAGAGATGTGCAACAGAGGGAAGGGGCCTGAGCTAATCCTTTCATTAGAAACCCACTCCCATGATAACCAACCCATTCTCACAATAACTGTATTTAATCCAAACATGAGGGCAAAGCCCCCATATCCTAATCACCTCTTAAAAATCTCATTCTCAATACTATTGCACTGGGGATTAAGTTTCCAACACATGAATTTTGGGGGACACATTCAAACCATAGCAATAGTAATAAATTTCATTATGTAGGTAAGTATGTATGTGTGATCTTCAATTCTAAACTTACTTTGTCTTCAAACTTAAATAATTAAAATAACTCCACATGAAATTAGATTTATGTGTGAAGAATGTAAAGCGATAAAAGTTATATAATTTTACAGGTAATTTGATGAATTATATAGCAGACAAGTATTGCAACTCTGAAGATTGTTTACAAATTCAACAAAAATATTAGGATTCATAGACATAAGTTTATCCTGTTATGACAAACACATAATTACATTATTATTCCTTTATCTTTAAATTCCTTTAGTCAAAATTTTTAATTCTTACAGATGAATAGAATTTAAATTAGATTTACTTAAATCTTTTTTTTCTTTAGGAAAAAGTCAAAGAGAAGGAAGAAAATCTGAATCTTGTAAACCAATTCTTAAAGTAGAATACAAGACCTGCAAAAACAGGTATGCATTTTTACTTTAGGGAAAGAGGAATATGAAGCAGAGACAAAAAAGGCAAATGATCTTTAATGTCAATATATTGTTTAAAGTTTTTCATAATTGTAAATACAACTGAATCCTCCATATTAACATAACTGATTTTTTATTGTCTCATAGACATATCTCTGATAATGATTATTATGAATATTGCAAATTACAAGTGTTAATTATTTCAGGATTCTTAATGAGCATTTAGATAAGTATTATACACAATAATTTTAACAGTAAAGGACTTCTGACCATGCATACTACAAGTAGCAGGATTTATTAAGCAGAAGCAATGTGTCCATTGATATTGCATGTGAAAGACTTAAATACATAACCAAGTCTCTGTACTTTAAGATCTTACATTCTGAAGTCAGAAGATTACAATTTGTTGGAAAGATAAAGTTATGTACATTAATGTAATAAAAAGTACTAAATTTTAAGATGTTAAAAAATAAAAAAAAAATTAGTATAATATTATTTTGTGTTTAAAGTAGCCATATCCGGCTGAGTGCCCTGCCTCACACCTGTAATCCCAGCACTTTGGGAGGCTAAGGCGGGTGGATCACCTGAGGTTAGGAAATCGAGACCAGCTAGGGGAGCATGGCAAAAACCTGTCTCTACTGAAAACACACAAAAAAATTAGCTGGGCATGGTGGCACGTGCCTGTAATCCCAGCTACTTGAGAGGCTGAGGCACAAGAATCCCTTGAACCCAAGAGATGGAAGTTGCAGTGAGCCGAGATGGTGCCACTGCACTCCAGCCTGGGTGACAGAGCAAGACTCTGTCTCAAAAAAAAAAAAAAAAAAAGTAGCCATGTCCTATATATCAACAAGTTCCTTTTACCTGGCAATAATAATTAGTGGCAATATGCTCATTCAGAATTACCATAATAAATCTTGCCTAAACATTAAATTTATTTTAATTCAAATTAAATAATCCTACTTTATATTAATAATAAGCTCATTTTATAATGTTTTCTTGGTATCATAGGTATACTGAATGTTTGTTTATAACTGCTCTTCTAAAATTTTAATAGTACAAAATTATGGTCATTTTAAACCAGTTATTTTATCTATATATAAATATCTCTTTAGCCTACTATGCATTAACTGATAAAAATGACCACTGTTTTATACCATTATAAGTATTAGAATGTTTCAAATTTAATCATTATTAATGGAAATATGAAATATATGACATATATTTTGCCTCTTAAAATATTACTTATAGTTTAAGCTTTGCTTGAGTCTTCAGGTTCAAAATTATTTACAATATTTGTTATATGGTATTGCACTTCAAGGATTATTAAGGTGCAGGACACTATATTAACTATTCCTAGCAGCTTGTAGTATTATTTTGTGGGGTTTTTTTCACATATATATAAAAATATATGTATATTTATATATAGTTTATTATACATTAAGTTTTGGAATACATGTGCAGAACGTGCAGGTTTGTTACATAGTTATACACATGCCATGGTGGTTTGCTGCACCCATCAACCCATCATCTACATTAGGCATTTCTCCTAATGCTATCCCTCCTCTAGCCCCCCAACCCCCAACAGGCCCTGGTGTGATGTTCCCCTCCCTATGTCCATGTGTTCTTGTTGTTCGACTCCCAATTATGAGTGAGAATATGCAGTGTTTGGTTTTCTGTTCCTGTGTTACTTTGCTGAGAATGATGGTTTCCAGCTTCATCCATGTTCCTGCAAAGGACATGAACTTATCTTTTTTAATGTCTGCATAGTATTCCATGGTATATATGTGCTACATTTTCGTTATCCAGTCTATCGTTGATGGACATTTGGGTTGTTTCCAAGTCTTTGCAATTGTGAATAGTGCTGCAATAAACATACATGTGCATGTGTCTTTATAGTAGAATGATTTATAATCTTTTGGATATATACCCAGTAATGGGATTGCTGGGTCAAATGGTATTTCTGGTTCTAGATCCTTGAGGAACTGCCACAATGTCTTCCACAATGATTGAACGAATTTACACTCCCACTAACACTGTAAAAGCGTTCATATTTTTTCTACATCTTCTCCAGCATCTCTTGTTTCCTGAGTTTTTTGGTTTTTTTGAGATGGAGTCTTGCTCTGTCACCAGGCTAGAGTGCAGTGGCATGATCTCAGCTCACTGCAACCTCTGCTTGCTGGGTTCAAACAATTCTCCTGCCCCAGTGTCCCGAGTAACTGGGACTACAGGCGTGTGCCACCATGCCCAGCTAATTTTTGCATTTGCTTTAGTACAGACAGGGTTACACCATGTTGGCCTGGATGGTTTCCATCTCTTGACCTTGTGATCCACCCATTCTCAGCCTCCCAAACTGCTGGGATTGCAGGAGTGAGCCAACACGCCGGCCTGTTTCCCAACTTGTTAATGATCGCCGTTCTAGCTTGCATGAGATGGTATCTCATTGTGGTTTTGATTTGAATTTCTCTAATGACCAGTGATGATGAGCATTTTTTCATGTTTGTTGGCCACATAAATGTCTTCTTTTGAGAAGTGTCTGTTCATATACTTCGCCCACTTTTAGATGAGGGTTTTTGTTGTTTTCTTGTAAATTTGCTTAAGTTCCTGGTAGATTGTGGATATTAGCCCTTTGTCAGATGGATAGATTGCAAAAATATTCTCCCATTCTGTATGTTGCCTGTTCACTCTGATGATAGCTTCTTTTTTTTT